TCGGTGTTGAGCAGTTTGCCGTCAACTGTCGCGTCATCACTGCCCCCCCGCCCGTTCTGCCGCCTGCTCATACTTCTTGGTGGTTGTCTTGGTAACAGTCTATCCACGGGGAAACTTTGCAACCCTGGTGATCGTCTGCACCAGCTGGCATCAAACACTCTTGACACTTACCAGCAGTCTGCTGGTATTGCAAATGTCAGCCAGTTGTTTAGGCAAGATGACACCGCTGCCGTCCCCACCACTCGACGTCCTTCCTTTGACCAGCTTCTGCAGGAAGTTTCACTGGCTGTTTCAGCCCGTCCAACAGCAGCAGGCGGCGACGACAGTCCCTTCACGAGAGCACCTCTTCTGAGAGATGCGCTGATTTGGTGGTGCCTAAATGTCACCTATCCCGTGCTCTGTGACAATACGCAGCTCGGCCTTTTACATCCGTTTGCTCTCCAACTACTTGAAGACTACCGTCCGGCCGTAAAGTCCTGCGGTCTAAAGCTGCTGAAACACCTCGCAGCCGAAGTCCTTATATCCTCCTGGCGTAGTACTGGACGGTGCGAAGCAACCCTGAACGTTCTCTTGACTCAGAGGTCCTCATACGCATCAACAGCGGTAGGTTCTGTGTGAGAAGAGATGAAGGGAGACGTCTGGTAAAATGAATAGCTTATTCTCTACAGAAGTAGTGGGGAATAGGTAGGAGGAAGTTGACTGTTGGACTAGTGCACTTCCGGCCGCGACGGGACCGGATCCGAAGTGAGTGATCTAGCAGCCAACATAGTAAGGTCCAGTTTAAATCAGTCTTGAAGGTGATTGGTCTGACAGGGGTAGACAGACATCACTGCATGCGTACTCGTTAGCATCAGTGAGCGTTTGCGCGTGAGTACTCGCGCAAAGTAGGGTCATTACGAGTTTCCTTTTCGGCTCTTTTAACTCTTTGTTGTTGGAGGTATTCGGAATGGTGCACAGTGGACCTACGCGCATGAGGCCATTATTCCGTCCTGGCTCCACTTGCCGTCCGATGGTCATCTATGCTGATCGCCGTGGCCACGCCCCGTAAGGGCCTCGTTGCCGAATTCAGTTAACTCCAGGCTGCCAGCCTATATCGAGCTGGTTTAAGTTACCAAGTAAAACCCCTGCCTGTGTGATCTTCGGGCACATTTCCCTAGAGGGAAGGAGAGGAAGTGAGACGCCAGGCGGAAGGAATAGTGTATTCTGTACAGAGATATTGGGGAGAATAGGTTAGAGGAAGTTAATTGTAGGACAAGTACACGACCGGCCGCGAGAAGACCGCGTCCGAAGTGGGTGAGCGTGGCAGTCGTCTCAGCGTCCACAGAGCGGTCTTTGTGTGAGTCAGGCTTGAAGGTTCTCGACCAAACCAGGGTTAGCAAACACCAGTGCACGCACGCTTGCTAGCAGGCGTTAAGAGGTTGAGAGTTGCGCTCGGAGTTGGGTTACTGCACCACTGTAGCACCCGCAATTCTTTGCCTCCAATATGTCAGAAGGCAGACGACTTCCATTGGAGGTTGGGACAGTTGGTACATAAAGTCGCAGCCGATATGCTTGTTCGATGCCAGTGAATATGAATGGGCCAGGATTCGCGAAGCTTCGGTGAACAGAACGTGTGTTACACGCGTAGGCGACACTGTATGTCGGGTCAACCAGAAAGCTCCCTTCCCAACTTGGGCTCATCTAGTCGCGTCACTGAATAAAACTTGCTGGGCCGATGCAACGCAGGCTAACGGATTCCCCGCTAGCGCGTGTCCACAGATGGTTGAACGTCCTTGAACAAAGACTCACCATTAAATAAGCAGGCTAACGCGTCGGACGAACGAACAGTCACGAACCAACAGCGACAGTGCTGTCGGGCCGTCGAGGGCTACAGTTTGACGCGCTCACGGTTTTAAAATGTCACAAAGCCCGATGACGACATCGCAACCGTGAATCGCCAGTAAATACATTTTTCCCCGCCTCTTTGTGATTATGTGGTTCTTGAACTAAGACGCTAGAGCAAACAACGTCAGACGAACAATCAGAGCGGTCGCTGAGCACCTGTCAGTACTCATAAAAAGATGTCGAGGCGGGTTACATCAGACGTGGTCATATGAAGCACTTCACATATGTGATCTGAGCTTGAGACTGCCATGGCGCGCTAAAAGGCTGTGGTTTGTAAGGTTGCAATCGGACGGGGCAACTCGAACCGTGCATCCAGCTCACTGTTATGTGGATTGGCCGACTGATGATCTGCGAGTCAGGCTGCAGTGGCTTCTTCCCAATGTGGCACTCTTACGCCTGGGGATCCGAGCCTCCCACCACTTTTATAGTGAGATCCTGGTGTGCTGTACTTGAACGATCAGGTCTTGTTTGTGGCAAGCGCAGACGATGTCATGAGCTATGTTACCCACTACGTATATTTCTCGCACCAAACAACTGACCGGCTCGGACAGTGGGTTGGAAATGACAATGGAGAATGAGCTCGGCGGCTAAACGTTTTTTCCCCACTATAAGCAACCTGAGGGCTAGGAAGATATCAGGGTGCGCTAAAAGTCGGCGCTTGGAAGCTCGCCAACCAACGGGCTAACTCGGACCTCACAAGCGGTCCAGTGTATTTGCGTTGAGCGGCCGATTAAGTGTTAGGTCACAATGATTCCTCAATATGATCGCTATTTCACTTGCTCTCCACGGGATCCGAGCCAGGTGTTGCGGCACGCCTAGGGACCGGCTCCGGCCGCACCAGTCCCATGTGCCCTATCCCGCCCCTGGTCTTCTTGGCTTATTCATGACATTGAACCAGGTGGGATAGGGGGAGAGGGTGCAGTAAATGCAGCGCAAGTCTACTTCCAATATAATCTAATTTATGTAAAAGTCACCTTCCCTCTCTACCATGCTCCCGGGAACGCTGTGGTCCTCACCGAAACCGCCGATAGAACTGTCATTGCTGCTTCCCGAATGTGGTCGGTGCTATTCCTTGTCTTATTTGATGAACGGACGATCTTTAAAGAACTTTTAATCGAATTCATTCTTCATGTAACTATTTATGTTGTTTTTTTTTTCGGGCACTGATCGTTATCTCGCGTCTTCAGTGCCAATTATTGGATCCTGCATACATCAATCAGTGACCGATGTTATGAAATGTTCAGTTCACTTCAGTTTTAATCAAGAGAAAGATAGACGAATGCCTTTGAACTTCCTGTTGGTTACAAAGTGACTGGGGAATGCATTGATTAAGAAGAAATATTTAAAAACGTGATCGTTTGCATAATTGCAGGCAAAAAGCGAGCAGCCGTCGGTTAGTCGAGAAGAATAAACATACACAGGCACACATTTATTACGAGTATTAGTATACTGACCGTGATTATAATGGTGTAGTTATCTGATCGGATACATTAGCTTGTAGGTGGTGAATAAAAAGTTAGGTGCATGCCCCGTTTGCTCTAAAATGGAATCACACAGGTGAAGATAACAACATCTTCAGGCAGAGTATTCCACGCTATAACCACTTTGTTAATGAAGAAAAACTTGCCTTCACCGATCCTTGATTTGTCTGGGCCCAGTTTTAAGGGTTGAACACACAAAATGGGCGTGCTAGTCTGAGAACAAAAACACCGAGACAAAGCAGCAATCCAGGCCATTAATAACGCGGAAAGTTACTACGAAATCCCCTCTTAAGGGAGGGAAAGAAGGTTGAGGGCCGACAGTCTGTTTTCAAGACCTTGAGTCAATTTTGTCGTCCGCCTCTGGACATTCTCTAAGAGGGTACAGTATTTTACGGACCAAGTTCTCCATGCCTGTATAAAGAATTCTAAAGGCAGCCGAAGGAAGCTTCCAAATATTTTGTAAAAGCCGTCTTTTTCGAACCCCATAAAGGCTCGCCTAATCAGTTCCAACATAGATCTGGCCGACTTTGTCGCCTTCGTGCAGTTAAGTGAAGAAATAAACCACACGTCCAAGTCCTTCTGGCTGTAAACTTGTTGCCGCGATGTGCCGTTTAGGAAGTAAACATTGAGGCTCTACAACTGCCGATTTGAAGAAAGTAGCATTTACTAACATTGAAGAGCATAAAACAGTGCCTTAACCAATCTTCCAGCCTGTTCAAGTTTGTTTGCTGATGGCCTTTTGAACAAATTTCCACAACTTTATGTTGTTAGCGTACAGGGTGACATCACAGTCTAATTTCTGACACATTGATTGGCGAAAACAAGGAATAACGTGGGACCTAAAACTGAACCTGTGGGATGCCACTCACCACAGGTACCCCTGAGGACTGCTGGCCCCCGACTTGTACTCTTTGGGACTGCCCGATCAAAAGGTCTTGGATCCATACAAGGCGATTCTCATAAACCCCTGTGCTGCGCAGTTTTAGGGCAAAAGGCATTAGTGACGGACGCTTCTGAAGGTCCTTTTGATGCGCTTCTTTTAGGCTGTCTGCCAAAACCGCACTCAGTAAAAATACTGCTTGAGTAGTTTGCATTTTTTAAAATCGACGTTCCCTTTCCTTAAAAATCTGAATGAATATTATTCAAAAGTTGCAGGAAAATATCCGTTCTTTTGTGCATTTGGTGGCAAATCACGTTTTCTTAAAATTTATACTGATAAATAAGTGTTCTATAGGGAGCTAACGTAGAGTCGCCCGATGGCGAAGATCTTCCCGCCCAAATATCTTATGGGATTCGTCGTTAAAGATAAATGAAGGGGTGGGCCACACCAGGGGCCGCATAGGTGCGTGATAATCCCGCAATCAGAAAGAAATTAGAGTCGCTTGTTTATTCTACTGAATTAAAAACGCAGGTGAACGGATTGTGGTAAGGATAAAAAAAAAGACTGAAATGAAAGCCTGTAGACTAGGGAAAATATTAGAATAACTCCTATATGGTTAACATAATCAAGGAAGTGTTTGGATTAGCGCTAATTCGACCTACTGCACATTTGCAAGTAGTTTTGTTATGATTATTATTATCAATACCTCTCCTTAGACGGGTCTACGATAAACCTCTACCAAATTTTCTTATTCGCGAAAAAGATTGAACATGATCTGCCGTTGTATTCGCGTCAAATGATTCAAGTCTGCAAATTGTAAACTTCCATGTAAAGGAAATCATACACTGCTTTATACCATTGCGAAGTTCCCATAAAGGGCTGAGAAGACGTTTCAGTTTTATGTGGACTGTGTTGTCAACTTGAAGAGGGGCATTAATAAACGGACACGTTTGATTTGAGGACATTACAGAATTTTCATTAAAATTTCAATCATTAACTGAAAGCAACGTTGTTACCGCGTGACAGTACAGTAGATGACCCAACTCATTAAAAAATGCCACTTCCTTACATTTACTCCCATCTCATTTTCACTGACGTAAGATCAGGTTTTCCGATGTAGGAAGAGACTTATTGAAATACCTTTTCTGCCTATATTGGTGTTCACCCATAGTACAACGTGCAAAAACAAAAGGTTTGGTTCTGTCATAGGAGGTTTCTAGGCTATCTTTCAATCTCAAATTTCGCAAAAATCCTGCTCGTTTTCCTTTACGGAATTCTTAACATCGAATCAACTCAACGGATTATAGTACCAAGACCATATTTGCGCTAAACTGCGCACTCAAATTTTGACATTACATGAGTTAGACCCCATTTAATCTGACGGCAAGTGGCCGTCGCAAGGCAGTAAACCTGCGTTAGACGTTGGTAGACTCCAATAATCAATAAGACATTTTTGTGGACAACATTTGCGACTTAATCCTTTCATTTCCCCACCACTCTCTTCCTTTTAGACTCTTCTCAAGGACACGTTTGACAGCATTTTCGCATTCTTTCGGCTTCTTGAGCCGGCAGAGAAGAGAAATTGGCTCAACAAGCTAGCCGAAGTACTCTTCTCTGACTTGGTTCTGGAAAGCAAGCTGGAGAACCGCATCGTACTGACTGGCTATGCTATAACTCTGATTGATCTCCTCGGTAGGGAGGTGATGGTGCACTCAAGGCGTCTTCTGAAGTCCGCAGAACTCACTCTGCTTGCTCCGCGGTCCTCGAACTCGGTAGGCGGTTTGTCTGACACGTATCATCATCATCCCCACTTCTATTGGTTCTCATAATGTAAGGTTCTAACCTACTCCCCGCACCCCAATTTTAGACCAGTCTGCGAGAACGCGAACACCTCTCGTTTTCACGGATGCTGACCTGCCTGCTCAAGTTTGTCCAACTGTCCTGTGACCTGCTGTTTCCCAATCTGCTCCCGATGGTTATTCCCTTACTGACATCTTTCGTCGACCTGGAGTGGAGTAGGCGGAACGACAAGGATGTTGCGGATGGGCTCAACGCTCTCTCCGCTCAGCTGACGGCTATTTTGAGCCTCCTGCTCAAACAAAACCCTGGCGAGGTCTCCCGAGTGTTGAGCCGATGTACGAAATTGACTCCGCACCTCCAGCCCGTGCTGGCGGCTTGTGGTGACGTGTATATACCTACCTGCTAAACTTGCTTTCTTCAAACAGGGCCGATCACACTGGGGCTAAATCGGTATATAGATCGTATTGCTGGTGTAGTTAGTGCTTTCGACGATGGTGGCAGAGACACTTTGTGATCTAAAAAGCTGGCTGGACATGACCTAAAGGTCTGCTGATAGCGTGGACATTATGACGGAGGTTGGCGGTTTGTGTAATTAGTCCGCTACACTTTAAGTTAAGAAGACGAATGTTTTTAAACTCTTACTGCAGTTTATCGTCTGAGATAAAAGTGGAAACAAAATCAGCAACAGCTATAGGGGGTAGGAGCCAATTGCAGTAACGCCAGTTCGGAGGTGAATGCACAGGGTTCTGTATGCCAATAGAGGAGAATATCCGAGTTTAAGGAAGCAGTTCAGAAAAAGAAGAAGCGATCACTGGAACAAGAGTTTTATTGCCCTGACGTTTTGGATTCCGTCGGGGACCGTTAGTCATAGGTAATCGTAAACAAGTCTGAGATATGCGCAGATAAGGGGTGATACATGCACAGCTTGCACGCTATTTATAGTTCGTAGCGGTCACCCGCATGCGTACTATAATTGTCAGTTCCT